CATCAGGTTCGTCTAGTTGATCACTGTGAATAGAGAGACCATGGTCGAATCGGTGTTGGGCGGCACAGGAATTGGAGGGAAAACAACAGGACTGTCGAACCGTTGGGCGGCGTTGTCAGCCGCATCGTTGGAGGAAGGACAGGCGGTGCATCTGTCCCTGAAGTCACCTTCCTCAGCTGGGACAACCATGTCGGGATCATGGTCGTCACCATTGGTGAAGGTGGTGAAAACAATTTCATGGAGGTTATCGTCAACGTGTGGGCTGACCATGATCGATGGAAGTTGAGATATGCTTTGGTTCTTTAGTTTCGGAGGAAGAAAGAACGGGGAAGCAATAGATTCTCACAGACGGTGCCACTGATTTTATCGGACCAGAACAAGATCAACAACTAGCAATGCGTAGTGAACTCCTAGTTCACTGGTGGTGGTGAAGAGGAGGGGGTATACTTGTATGGTACTCCGATGCCAAAGTAATAAACGGAGTAAAGAGAGATATAGCAAGTACAAAGTGCAGAGAATGGAATACCGGTCCCTCTAGTGAAATATGATATTTATAATATGTCCCCAGTGTTGGGCTAATAGTTATTTACATTGGGTTTGATCATTAGGCCCAATACAAATAACTGTCAGGATCTACGTGGCGTATAGAAGACCAACACGTGCTCTTCATCATGGTCCAACTACATCGTGAACTTTGGAAGGTGAATGATTTGTTCTCTTGGATGCGGGTAGTTGGCTGATGACGTGTCCCCACATGGGGAGCACATGGGGGAGACGCATGAAAGCTACCTGTGTGGGGTGATGAATTGGGCATTCATTGGGCCCTCCTCGACAAGGAGTTGGGTTGAGATGTGCCAGATGGTGGACCAACCTCTGGTCTAGCCCGTAACAGTCACCAATGAAGACTTTGTGGAAATTATTCAAGATATTGATGACCATGTTGCCTGAAATGAGGTGAATTTGAAAAGCTTTAATGCTACTTTCGATTTTTTGTACTCGAAACACAATTACCAGATCCTTTAAGTGGTAGTAAAATGAAGAAAATGAAAGTGCTTAAAAACAAAGATACAAACAATTATATTACTGAACTCCAAGAATCAATTGTCTAGGTTGTAGATGCACTAACATAAGGAAATGCTGCAATACGAGAAGGAAATGAAATAATGGAAGAGCGTAAAAAATACGAGTTGCCTCCATTTTTAGGGGAAGAGACATCAAATTTAATAAAGGAGCATAAGTGTGATGCAAAGTCATTGTCTCAGATATATTGCACTGTCACAAACGATGCTGACAAACATAGAATGATTCTCCAATGTCCACTTGAAGCACACAAAGTAGTGATACTACAAATGATCTTGACTCATCTGATTGATCATCTTATAATAGCCTTATGACTTTTATGGATATTTTGTTTACATTAATATGTTTTTGAATATTTTGTTTATAATATAATATGTTTCTAAAAAAATTATTTGAATTTGTCTTGCTTATGAATGAACACGTTTTTATTTGGTAAAATTTACTAAAAAATGTTTTGTTTATAATTGTTTTTACTAAATACAAGGGATAATATTTGCAAGGATAAAAAATAATTGAATTTTAAAAATCTTTCATCCCTTTGTTAACTAAATAGGTATGTTGTTAAAAATTCCTCTCCTATATTAAATTCCTACCCCTTCTCTCAGTTGAACTAAATAGACTTATATATTTGATTTCTTACCCCCATTAATTTTAAACATTATAAAAGTCATATGACATCCTCCTATTCTCAATTGGACCAAGTGCAACATTTATGGTGTTGCCCTTGATTGTCCTGGACCCTTGGCACATGCACAAGTATTTTAGGAATGTTATTATCCTTAGATGAGATTTGATTATAAGCAAATTAGACTTACTCAACTTTAAATTATGTTAAGGTTTGGTTTATTTTTTATTCAAGGTCCAGACTTAGTCCTCCACTTCCTTTAATTTTTATATTAAATTATTATATATGTGCATGCATGAATTTCTTTTTTTATCTCACCGTTATAAAATTATAATAAATTAACTTTCATATATTTAAATTCAGTTGAAGAATTATAAATTAGTTTAAAGACCCATTTAAATTATATATTATGTCATTACTATTGACTAACACTCATTTAACAAAGAATTTAATTAAAAAAAATAAAATAGTTTGGACATTGTTTAGATTGATCAAATGTGGTGAAATAGAATAAATCTTTTAGAAAAAAAAAGATGATGTATTGACAATATAATTTTTTTTCACACAATTAATTAATGACGATTATAAGTTCCGTCAAGTTAGATTGAAAATTTTAAACTAATTATATAACATATAACATGATAGAATAATATATTTCTATTAGATGACCGTGTAATTGCATTACCATTAATCTCAAATCTCTTTGATTAAAACTTTTAACTTTAAAAATTCATTTATAATGTTTTAAAAACTGGACTGATCATCGAATCAGGGAGGGTATTGAGTCACTGGTTTAGTAATCGAATCAATGAGTCGCTGATCAAACCATGTGACTAAACCGGATAAAATCAAAAAATTCGGTTGAATAAATCTGTCATTATAACAAAATTATATAAGTATTAAACTGGTCGAATCGGATGACTGAGAATCTAAAAAAATTCACTACACCTGTTTATAATTTAAATTTAAATTTGAGTCAATTATAAATTTGAGTCAAATAATTCATTTAAAAATTTAATCAAACTATCAATCTCAAATATAAATTTATGTTTGTTGCATATCAAACATGCATTACCATTTACTTTATCCAACATTGGAAATTTTTAAATTTCACAATATATCAATATTATAATATACAACAAGATGTATTTAATATATTTAAAATCACTTACACCAATTTTTTAAAGAAAGACTATCAACTTTCTCTTATTTTATTTATTTTTTAAATAATAAAAAATGATGTGGCTTTAATTTATATAAAAACATTTAAATTGTCAATTTTTTAATTTTTACTGATTTACATAAGTTTTATCTATTCTCATAACAAGGAAGCATAAAATCTGAAACCTGATCGGTGCGAGTATAATAGGAGTTACGCATTAAGTCAATAAGTCTCACAAGTCAGGCTTCTCTTCAAAGTCTAAATGCAGTAGGAATAGAAAGGGCTTTTTAAATGTAAATTAGGTTAGTTCTAAATTGGAAAGTTGGTCGGACCGGGTTTAAATGAGGGGTAAGGTTAACTTGTGCCTCAAGGTCACAGGTTAAGAAATGTATAAATAGAAAATTTGTATCTAGAAAAACAAAAACTCATTAATTGTAATATTGTATTAATTTTTATTCACAATTTTCAATAAAATGTTACTATATTTATCTCTTAATATGTGCCATTGGGGCACAAGTTAACATTACCCTTAAATAAGTTAATATACCGGTTTAAGTGATACTATATAAAAGAGCAACTTTAGCGCAGAGTTGTTAAACTAAAATTTTGTATAGGTTACGTTAGTAATAAAGAATTTGCATTATAGTAGAGCTGACCTGACATCTAATGAATTAAAGTTTAGTTTCCATTATCTATACCGTTAACGTTAACTATTCAATTGAAAACATATTATAATATTATTTAATACTAATAAAATATTTCAATGGAAAACATGTTTATATGTTTTTTCTAAATAACACAAATTTAATTTTTTTAAAGTAACTTTTGATTTTAAAATCACTTTTACATGAATGTATCCCAATATAAACACATTTTACTAAAATTAAATCTATTAAAATCAATTCTACTAAACTTAATTTTATCAAAATCAATTATGTACACGCCAATTCAAACACAAAATAAATCAACCATGGCCAAACAAACTAATACTAACATGAATTTTTAAAACTATGGTTTAAAAACATAAAACTTTAAAGGATATGCATATACTTGAAAATACCTTAACTTATAATTTAAGGAATCTTTAAATGAAAGTGAACTTTAAAAGTGAAAAAATACGCAAATAAACATAAAAATTTCAACTTCAAGGTTTGAGGGTGGTTTTATATAAACAAAAATAAAGTTCAAGGTTTGGGGTGATTTTATATAAACAAAAATAAAGTTTATGACATTTAATTTATAGCCGTGGAAAATGAGACCTTTTATTCAATATATCTACCATCAAATTGAGTCTTTTATACCTTATTTTCACAATTATAAATCATGAGATTTAGAGTTAAATCATGAGATTTCTATGATACTCTTCATGAGTTGTGTGTATTAAAGAGAAAACATGAGGGTTAAAGTTAAATCACAAGGGTGATATGATACTCTTCATGAATTGTGTGTATGGTGGAGAAATCATGAGACTTATAGTTAAATCATACTCTACTTTGTGTGTATTGAAGAGAAAACATGAAGATTAAAGTTAAATCATGAGGGTCATATGATACTTTTTATTGTCATGTATTATTTTATATTCCTATGAAAATGTAAATTTTTTTAATGTATTATTGGTGTGAATTTTGTATCATTTTTAATTTTATAATAAAATATATTTAATATTATTTCTAAGTTTTTAAGATAAAATTTATTAAAAAAATTATATGCATTTTAATTAAAATAGTTAAATTAATGATAATTTAAATAAAAAAATATAAAATATAAACAATTATCATTATTAAAGTAAAAATTACTCAAATTAATTATAATTTTTTTAAGTTCTTTAGGCTCAAAAAAAATATGTTAGTTTATAAGTAAACCAAAGAATTGCGGGATAAAAAGGGTTTAGTTGAGTTAAGTCTGGTCTCAAGAATAGGGTTTTGCAAATTGCAGCTCATATCACCGTAACAACTAGAGAATAGGGTTTTGCAAATTGCAGCTCACATCACCGTAACAACCAAGCATAGGGGAAAATCTGAAACAAGCATAACAACGATAGGAGGAAAATCTGATCACCGTAAAATCAAGCATAACAACGATAGGGGAAAATCTAAAATCTGAAATCTAAAATCTGAAACCTGATCGAGTACAATGGGAGCTACGCATCAGGTCAATAAGCCTCACAAGTCACGTTTCTCTTCAAAGTCTTCTCGCAACATTCACAAAACCTCAGTTAAAGGTTCGTATTTTCAAGTTACTAATGCTTTGATTTTGTTTTTGCATCGATTATTAATGTTAGGTTTTTGAATTGAGTTGTTTAGATAGACTTGCGATTGTAAAATCCTCGCGCAATGTTGGCAAAGGGGCCCGCGCAACTCGACTTCAGAAAAATAAAATGGTATTTGAATTTGAATCTGTTTCTATGTTTCTATTGCTCATTGTGTGTTGTATTGTGCTTACATTCATGTTACTGATTTGTAAATATACAGATTCGGGAACAAAAAAAGGCTGCGGTTTTGAAAGAGAAAAGAGAGTTGAGTGGATCAAAATGTCCTCCTCGAGTAATTGTGAGTGAATTGATTCTGCCTTTATTTTTGGAACTGAATTGGATAATATATTTATGCACTGTTTAGATAAACAACTTAATTTAGATAAACAACTTAATTTAGATAAACAACTTAATTTAGATAAACAACTTAATTTAGATAAACAACTTAATTTAGCGCTTATTGAGAGCATATGGAAATAAGTTGTTTCCATAAGTTCTTCCTAGTAGTTTAACAAGTGCTTATGCCTTATGATAGTAGTTAAAAGCTCAAATAAGCCAATTTGAGCAAACTCTTATTTATTGCATAATCTTTTTGATTTCACTTTTATTGTGTCCTCAGACCCGTATTAACTTTTTGTTCCTCCCAGGTTCTTTTTGCCCTTTGTGATACTGTGGATTTAGAACCAGTTGCCGTCGATCTTTTGTCATTGTTATCCAGTGATTCTTCTGCAGGGCTGTCAGAGCCAGTTGCTTCTTCTGAATATAGGACCAGAGTAACGGTACATCTGTCTGCTCCCTCATTCTGTGTAAATTAGTTAATTTGTTGGGCTTGTGCTTACAACATGGACTGTGTTAATTGATATTGATAATAAAAACTCTCATACTAGAAGTTATTTGTAAATATATCAAGTAATGACTTCAAAAATATATTGTTAGAAGTTAAATATAGACATACACCTGGTTAGTTGGGAAATAAGGAACAGTTGTAATTTGGACGTCTCTGTTCAACGGGTATATAATTGTTATTATTATTTTTTTGTGGTCATTTTCCCAACTATGTTGAGTTTTGACGATGTGATTTTACACCAATGCTATATACGCCGCAGGTACTAAAAGCACCTCATGGTGATTTACAGTCCTGTCTGGAAATGGCTAAGGTATTATCTTTTGTTTTTATTCTTCTTTTCTCAAGGATTTTAGTGTGCAGATGTGGAAAACGTTTGTTGTGATTACTGTTCAACACTGTCTGTGTAGGTTGCTGATCTACTGGTTTTTGTCGCCTCTGTAACTGCAAGGTCTTTGTGTGAAGAAACTGATTCTTACTTTATTGATTCATTTGGAAAACATTGCCTTTCTATATTTAAATCACTTGGTTTACCAAGCACTGCAGTCTTTGTTCGGGTAAGCTATGGTGGCTCTTATTTTGGAACTTATGGATTAACTTACACAAGCTTACAATCATTTCATGAAGAAATTGAGTTTTAATCATTTATGTGGAATTTCCATGTAATGCTTTCAGGATTTGCCAACCGAGCTAAAACAAAGAAATGAACTAAAGAAGGTTTGTACTTCTAGTCTTGCGTATGAATTTCCCGAGGACTGTAAATTTTATCCAGCTGATACAAAGGATGATCTTCACAAGGTATTTATTTCACCCATTGATGACTGAAAATTTCGATTGCACCTGCCGGATTTATCACCAATTGTATGATCATTTTGATTGTCTAAGCTTTCAACTTCTCTCATCTATGCAATTGCAGTTCCTCTCACTTTTTAAAGAGCAGAGGCTTAAAACTCCTCATTGGAGGACTCAACGACCTTACCTCACGACTGACAAGGTTTGAATTCATTAGTTTGATCCAGACATTGTTCAACTCAATCAACTTACATATAGTTTTCCCATATTGAGCTTATTATTTTTACCACCATAAATTACAGGTCGACAAAATAAATGATGACAGTTCTGACAAATGCACCCTTGTTCTCACTGGTTACCTTCGTGCTCGTAACCTCTCTGTGAATCAACTGGTAATCAACGATGTTGTTCGACAAATTTTAGTCGCATTTAGTTGTTTCTTATCTCACATTTTATTTGTTCAGGTTCATGTATCTGGTGCAGGAGATTTTCAACTGGGCAAAATTGAGGTTCTTAAGGATCGCTTTGCTTTGAATTCAAAGAAAAAACAAGACTTGATGGATTCTGATGAAAACGAGGAGGTACAGATTTTTTACCTAATTCTCAAAACTAGACTGGTTAGAAACTCTTAAAGGAAGTGCCCTTTGAGGTTTTGAGTTTCAATCTGGTTTTGCCCATATATTATGTAAATATTAAGCAGTGTGTCAAAATGTATAATATGAACATGTTCAGAAGGTAAGGTAATTATATAAATATATATCAGTATGTTGAAATGTATAATATGCAAATGTTCAGACGGTAAGCAAATATTGTAAATTAAAATTGAAATGTAACAGTATGTTTAAATGTATAATATGCACATGTTCAGAAGTTAAGTAAAATATTGTAAATTAATATTGAAATATAACAATTTAAATTGGCAAAGACTGTTTTTGTCAATCTGGAAACACCAACGCAGTTCCATCTTAATTTTGATATACTGAAATTCAAGATCTTCTGTTCGTGCCACACTTTCATATTATGGTCTTTTTTACTCATTTAGTCTTGAACCATTTATTTATATTACACATTTACTTTTTTCTCATTTCCCCCCACCTTTTAATGTTGCAGGTCATTCGTTCTCTAGTTCCAGATCCTGAAATTCAAGAATCTCTAGTTGTCGAGAATACTCCTGATCTTATTGCTGGAGAGCAGGTAGATATTAAAATCTCATTTCTACTATTGCCATTTGTAAACTGTAATATTTGATTTATGAGCTTCCGTATTCCTAATTTATTGATTGGCATCATTTTAGTTGATGATTAGAGTATTTTCTAATTTTATTTTTTATAGTGTAGTATAGTATGACAAAGCAGGCTCTGATGATTATCTTATAATTCAATCAGTTGTAGCCCGTTATCCAATTTCACTCCTTTTAGCTTAGAATCCGCCCCCTTTCCCTAAACAAAGTGCTTTAACAAGTTTTTGGGTGCATTAGAGTATTTTCTAATTTTACTTTTTATAATATAGTATGACAGAACATGCTCTGTTGATTTATCTTATAATTCAATTAGCTGTAGCCCGTTGTCTAAGTTCACTCTTTTTAGCTTAGAATCAGCCCCCTTTTCCCTAAACAAAGCGCATTAACAAGTTTGTGGGGGCATTATCTTAATAGCATGTGTTTATTTATTTGCAAGAATGTTTTCTAAAGTAGTGTTTTGGTATGACATTATTACTTGTTGACAGACATGGCCAACAGAGGCTGAAATGGCACAGGCCGATGAAGATCGAAAGCAAAAAAAGTTAAGAAAGAGGAATCTTCCTGCTGGCACTTCAGAGTACCAGGTATGTACTTGATTCACTTCTGATTACATATATATATTCCTCACATTTCTGCTCACCATGTATCTAGTAAGGAAATTATAGGTATCTAGTATTTATTTTTGTTTTCAGGCTGCATGGTTTGATAATGTCTCTGATGAAGAGCAGTCAGACTGTGACAATGAAGATGAGGATGGTATGATGTTGGATGAAGAAAATGGGTTTCCAGGTCAAGAAGGAAATAAGTATGTAGATCTCGATGGTGATGGAGCTTCACTAAGATTTGGAGATTCTGATGACGAAACTGACAATGATTCTGTGATGATGGTGAGCTTGCTAATACTTTTGCAATACTAAAATATTTATCCTTCAGACCTTTGGCCTCCCTTGACAGTCTGTTGTCCTTTATTTTCTTCTATGTTGTTTATCTTGGATAGCGCTGCGTAGCAGCACCGACCCTCAAATGCTATAGCAGTATAGCGAGATAGCGGTTATTGCAAAGCCTAAAAACCAACTTACAAAGTAAAACATAAATACTCAAAATAGACTAGTTTACACATTTTAAGAGATCGTCATACTTAATAGTTATACAACCTGTTAAATAACCTAAAGTATAGAGTAGTGATACTTAAGCAGAGAGAAGAATAAAACAGAACTGAACTAAAAGTAGGAAGAACAAAAATATTATTGAGCAAGAATATAAAATTACTCTTCAAAGGGGTTGGATTGAAATTTATACCCATAAAAAAAGACGACAGTTAAAAAGGAAAGAATTTGAGGAATTTATCCCCAAAATTCTACCACCGTTATCGCCGTTCTGTTTGCTCGCGGACCAAATGCATCGTGGCAAACCCTCCCACTGCTATGTTAATTCGTTATAGCACTGCTATAGCGTGTTATTGACAACATAGATTTTGTTCCTGGTATTTGAACACTATATTGGACAGTGCTGCTTTATCAATCAATCCTGTGTATGTGGTATTTAGGACTTGGATAGTGCCGCTATTATGGATGTTCAGTTATTTTTCAGAGTTTTGCGTTCATATTATTCAAATATGTTCAGGACTTGCATTATGATAATTCTGTCCCATAGCTGGGTCTGATTACCTTTTTCTATTTTTTTTTTGAAAGATATTCCTTCTTTTAAATGCACATGTATGCGTGTGTATGTGTTTGGGATTAATTGGTGCTGATATAAGACTTAATGAACTTGTACCATTAAAAAAGTTTATATAGAAAATATGACTGAAAAATCCAAGTTTTCATTTTTAACTAATTATAATTTAGATCTTACATTACATCTTCAGATTAATGTATTTTGGGCTTGTGAAAATATAAGCTCTATCATTACCCAATAGTTTTTTCAAACTCTGGCTATTTCTGTTTACTTTTAAAGTATATTAGTCATTAATATTAAGACACTTCTCTCCAAGTAAACAATGTTTGGTTCCCTTGGTGCCACTGGATCATGATCTATATCTTTAATTGTATGATTACTATTTTGGTATTACAGGAAGTTGACAACATGACTACAGAGAAGATACAAGATGAACTTAAGGAACTTAAAGAAGCACATGCTGCAGATGAGGGTATTTTTTTTTTTTCATTTATGTTTTTATCAGTTTTATCACTAAAACTGTGTGCTGTGTGTCACACTCCTTTTTTTTTTCTTTCTGAGAAAGGCATGAGAATTTGGTATGCACATTTGTATGTGAACTTTTTTTTGGTTTCTACTTATATTTCATGTTCCACATTTTGCAATTTGTTGGGGATTTTGCTTTAGATACGTTATTTTATTGTTTCCACTTTCTGGTTCCTACCTTTTGCATTGTTTGAAAATTTGCCTTAGATAAGCAAAAATGACCTTTATCGATAATTTGCTGTTTTATTGCTCATATATTGTTATTCTTTTTTGTTTACTGCTTGCCATATGTTTGTTGTAGAGTATCCTGACGAAGTTGATACACCATTGGATGTTCCGGCTAGAAAGCGGTTTGCAAAATATAGGGGACTCAAGTCCTTCAGGACTTCTTCATGGGATCCTAAAGTATGTTTGTCTTTTGGAGATTCTTTACAGTGATACATTGCTCTACTTAAAATAAAAAGTAATCTGTCATTTCGAATAATATCAGGAGTCTCTACCCCAAGATTATGCCAAAATTTTTGAGTTTGATAATTTTAAAAGAACACAAAAGCATGTTCTTGCTAAAGCTTTAGAATTGGAAGATGAAAGCAGAGAGGACAATATTCCAGTTGGCTCATATGCAAGGTTGCATATCAAAGAAGTGCCCCGTAATGTTGTCTCAAAGCTATGTTCGCTTGCACAGACAACCCCAGTTACAACATGTGGCCTGTTGAAACACGAGTCAAAAGTATCTGTCCTTCATTTCAGGTGCGTATATGCTATATAACTTTAGCACCCTCTCATCAAAAGTGGTTCTATCTGAATATTCGATAGATGTGTCTTGAACTAAATTACTCGTGTTTTGCAGCGTGAAGAAGCACGAAACATATGATGCGCCCATCAAATCCAAGGAAGAGTTAATATTTCATGTTGGGTTTCGGCAATTTGTTGGCCGACCTACTTTCTCTAGCGAGTTCATAAACACAGACAAGAACAAGATGGAGAGGTTTCTCCATGCCGGACGCTTTTCAATTGCTTCAATTTATGCTCCAATTTCATTTCCTCCTCTTCCTACTATAGTCCTAAAGACAGTTGGAGATGGTGCCGCACCAGTAGTGGCTGCTGTTGGCTCACTGAAAACTGTTAATCCAGATAGGATAATCCTTAAGCGTCTTATTTTGACAGGGTATGTTTATTTATTTATTTATTTTTTTTGTGCCAAAATGCATAATTTGAAAACTTTTATATAATATTAGATTATTTCATTATATCTCAATATTATCTTAGAGCATCTTGGTTTATCTGGTGGTGATAGTTTCCATATCTATTAGTGATAGATATTATCTTAGAGCATCTTAGTTTATCTGCTGGTGTTGGTTTCCCCATTTATTCTTTTTCTCTCTGTTCTTTTCTGAAACCCTATAATCTCAAAAAAAATGAAAACTGCGCATGTTATTTATATGTTTTATAGTCTTGTCTTTTTGGTTGAAGTCTTTGCATACCAAATCTAGGAAAAATGTAATTATTTTCATTTCAGAATTATGACATTTATTATGATGATCCACAATAAAAATACTGTTATGGTAATTAGAAGTTTTTTAACATTTTGTGATGCAGCTACCCCCAAAGAGTATCAAAACGTAAAGCTTCTGTAAGACATATGTTCTATAATCCAGAGGATGTTAAATGGTTCAAGGTAAAAACAATTGTTTCCCATTTTCTGAAATCATTAGATATAATTTTGATGATTTGTAGAGTATCGAAAAAACTTATTCTCTAGAAGTTATTCTCAACTATCACCCTAACATGATTTCTTAATGTGGGTGGTGATTGCAGCCTGTAGAGATATATACCAAACGTGGTCTTCGTGGCAGAATTAAAGAACCAGTTGGTACACACGGTATGTTATGTTTCACACCCTTACTGCTAATTTTACTAGGAACATGCATGCAACTTCTCATTTTAAGGAGAAACTGATTATTTATTGCTTCATTGATGATATGCATCTGTGCATTCCATGTTTCTCATCTTGATTCATTTTTTAAAAATGTTTTTATGTTCCACACCCTTACTGCTACTCTTACTATAAACATGCAGCCAGCTTCTCATTTTAGGGAGAAACTGATTATTAATTGCTTCATTAATGATGCACCCGTGCATTCTATGTTTCTCATCTTGACTCATTTTTTAAAAATGTTTTATCCTAATTTTCTCATCCTAGGAAAATGTTTAGTATGGATTTTGCTAAGCCGTCAATGTCAATTTGAATTTACATCCTACCTCAGGATCTTCTTGTTCGTCAATGTCAATTTGAAGTTACCTCCTACCTCAGGATCTTCTTAGTCGTAGACGAGTAGTATATAGAACTTGGAAAATAATGAACTAGTCAAGATAATTATAACTATTTGATCTGCCCCTTTATTGAATATTGATTGCAAATGGTTGTTTTCAAAGGGAAATCTTACTAGACTAACATAAATTCTCCGTGTAAGTTTATTGGTTCATATTTCAGCTTGTAATCACCACTAACCTTCTAATAAATGTGGGATACTTTTTGATCGTAATCCATTTTTTGTTCAGGAGCAATGAAATGTCTTCTCAATGGAGTGCTCTCACAGAGTGATACTGTATGTTTGAATTTATTCAAGCGTTCATACCCGAAGTGGCCAACCCGTTATTTTCCTTTACTAGATTAGATTGTTGATGGGATGGCAGTTGAATTCTGTTATTGATCAAGGAGTTCAGTAGAAAGCCAGTTGTATATTGATTGGGAATGAAGCGTTGGTTCAGATTGACTTCCTTGGGCGGAGGATGCAGTTTTGTGGCTCTTTATTAACTTAAAAAAAATGATATTTGCATACAGAAATATCAAATTTCTAGTTTGTGGTCGTGTGAGAAAGATAAATTATGAGATATCAAATTTTGTATTATTTTTTTTAATGCTATTTGCATACAGAAATACCGTGTACAATCGTATTATGATTCATATATATCCTATCACTGTAAGATGAACTTCATTTCAGCTAAGGCTACTTTGTTTATGCACGCATTCTTTTGTATTGTAGTTGTTGATTGGTTTGGACTTTTAACCAATGGCTGTAAGCACCATTCAACTGAGATTAGTTGTGGGTTGGATCCCAGAATCCAGCAGAGAGATGCCTCAGGGTTAAGACTACTTCAATAAATAATTTAATTAAGTGCTTGTGTCATTATAGCATGTTTGCTTATTAATTGTTTGTTACTCCTTCCATTTTCAATATATAATTCAAATACACTATTTATTCAATGAATTTAAAAAGTTGAAATTTGGATTGATTATATATATATATATATATATATATATATATATATATATATATATATATATATATATATATATATATATATATATATATATATATATATATATATATATATATATATATATATATATATATATATAAATTGTTTGGATTGATTCTATTTGCGATAGAAATTATTTCATTTCAATTATGATGAACCTTTTTTATAAACGAGAGGTCCTAAGCCAAAAAGTGAAAAACTAAGTAATGTCTACATTAGGGATGACTCGATGAATTCAAATGTAAAGCCAGATTGGTTAGACAATCATCAAAGTAAAAGAGGTTTAAATCAAAACTAAATTATAGTATTGTCATTGCATCTGCCTAGTTGTTGCAAACCTCTTAGTTGTCAATTTAGAGTTTCACATTGGTGTAGCCTTTGACTTTAGTTAGCTTCAGCCACTGTAAACTCCCCAGAGCTCAATAATAACCAAATTATTAGTACCTATATTATATATTTGATGAAGCCTCTCACCCAATCTCCATTACTGTCTTTGATCAAACTCCCATAACTAATTCTGTTACTTTTGTTAACAACTCTATCCGTATTGAGTCGAAGCCAGCCACTAGGAGAATGGTACCATCTTGTCTGTGGATAATTCTTTTTAATGTTGCTATTCTTCTTCTACCATCTCAGATTATCTTGATAGGTTTTTTACTTTGATGCTTATGATGTCTGTCAAATGAGTGGGTATAATGAAGTCTTCCACATGAGGAAGGTTGGCTGCGCGTATCGAAAAAGAAATCGTACGTCAAAAATCATTTTAATATTTTATGCAAGTTTATGTTTTATTTATGTTTTAGATTAAACTTCCATTATGGTCTCTTTAAGTCTATTAGGACTTTTTTTGTTGTATTTAAACATTCTTAAGAGTGGTTGTCAAGATTATCTTTGATTTAATAAAAAATCAATAGTTTATTTATCTGGTGGATGTTGCGGTGAGAATCGTGATGTCAAGCTATTGATTAACTTGAATTTTAATTCATCAAATTCACAATTGGACTTTGATTTATCCAAAGGAAAGGTTGAAAGAAATACTTTTTGCGCAATGTAACAAAAACGCTAAGAGATTTGGGGATCAGGGGTTGGTTGTGCTTAGGGTAGGTATTTCACATTCTAAACATATGTAGTACTCTACAGGAACGTTTTGTGTGTGTATGATAAACTTGCTAAGGTTATGCTATGGTTTGAGATTAGGGTTAGGGTAAAGACCTAAGGTTGATGTTTCTAAGTTTGCTCGCAAAGATATCACATCTTCTGCCTACGTATCCTAACTAGGATAGAATCAGAGCAATCATAGTTAACCTTACTGAGGATTAAAAAGTACTTGACTATGGTCAAGACTCTAGAGGGACAAACATAACAATGCTTGTGTAGAGTTTAACCAAACTCTTTAGATCTATATTGAACACTCAAGAATGGGGAGTAAGTAATCATCACCATGATTCTTACATAGAGTTAACAAAATCTACCTAATTCTATGTTGTAAGACCAATTGGTTCTATCCATACCAAAAGGAGGGATGGGGCTCTATCAAGGCCTATAAGGATTGACTCTGACTGTGTCAGGGATGTACTCGTCAAGATATCGTACATTGTGCCTATGTATTCCCATTAACCAATGAGAAATCAGAGCGTCCGTAGTTCATACATGACTAAAGAAGAAGAACTCTAAACCTAATTCCTAAAGGGTAAATGGATCTATCAAGGCCTATAAGGGTAATGAGCTATCTATGACTCAGAGGTCAATAGAGAGACTTTTCTATGGACACAAGGGATACAAACAACTTGATGTGAACTAACAAGTTCTATCACTAGGGAATAACTTGACAAATTTAAAGAAATAAAGTAAGAGCATGTAAACAATCATGATAATAATCAAGATCAACATTTCACTTCTTAACAAAGATCAAAAGACATAGAGGTAATAACCAACAATGTAAGCAAATAACATGTGTAACAACAACAAGTTCATCTATAACATTCTTATGAAATTGATGCAAAAAAGTTACAACTTGAAGAAAGCATGTAGTAAGAATCAAACAAGATAAAATGTAACAACATAAGACCAATCAAACATGTATTGAGGACAACCAATCAAGCAAAACACAAGAGATGTTACAACAGTTCAAGTGTAAATTCATAACTTCCTGGGGAAAAACATACAAGTTTTACGGTAACAACCAAATTGAAAATCAAATCCTAGAATGTTATGGTTCTAACAAGACACATAAAAACATTGAATGAGGCATGATAAACATACTCAAGAGATTACAACATCAAGAATCAAGCTAAAGTTGACATATGAAGTTCAACAGACCATTTTCACATATATGCATTCACCAAGGCAAACATGAACATGTTAAAGAAATGAATCAAAAACTTTAAAGTATTTAAACATGTTAAAATATATATATGAAACCCAAAAGATCAAACTCACAAGAGAAATCAAGTTATAAGTTGAAAAAAGTTCAAGAACACCTAGGTAAAAACCCTAAAAACATATGTTTTTCAAGTGGATCAAAGTCTTTCTAGGATAAGATTCCTTGAACTCTTTCTTGACTCAATGAAAATAGACATGATAAGGAGTATTTTTCAAAAATAATGGCATAAATATCACAAAAATTGAGCAAGTTATGATCATTGCAAGTTGGTGCACCAAGAGGGCAAAAACTAGGGTAAGGCTAGGTCACAACCTAAGAGTCATTTGCGTGAAGGATTGGAACTCAGTCAATTCTTAACCAAATGGAGTGAAACAAAAGTGAAAACTGTGTATTTTTGAACAAGGAATTAAATGTTACTATTTGTTTTTCTATACCATACACTCATAAGAAAATTCGGTAGCATCATGTTTAGGGCAAGTTTGGTGGCAACCAAAAGCGTGAACATGTGAACAGTCATGTGTAGTGGTGTGCTTGGTGAAACAAGTCTACAAAAATCACATATACATCATATTAAGAGTTTAGCACAAAATAAATCAAGAGAAGCACACATGGTTTGGCAGATTGGATGCAAAACGCAAAAAGTGACTAGGTTGGGCCTAGTTTGTGACCTAGCTTGTGACCAGAATTTGATAGTTCAAAAACTACATGTTTCGATGCAAGAAATGGTTCATAAATGACACATAACCTACATAAGATTTGTTAAAACAATGTACAACACCAAATCATAGCTAAAAGTCATGGTAGCATGTGAAATGCAAGTGAAAATTTCATGTTTTTTGTGTTTTAGGCTTACCTCTTGAAGCAAGCTTGGGAAATACGAAAACCAGAGACTTTGGGTGCTCCTCCAAGGTCTACAAATGCTCCAAAGATGGTGAATCAGTGCTCCAAATGAACTCCAAGCAAGTTGTTGGGCAGAATGCCTTGTAAATGAAGAAAAACCTCCAAAATCCAATGATTTTCAAAGATAACTCCTCCAATCCTTGATAAAGAAATGTGAATTGATTATGTACAACTTTTATATGTGAAATATGAAGTGTTAGAGGTATTAAAGCTCAAGGAAAGGCAAGGGACCAATGACTGTCCTTTAAAATGCAAAAAAGTCAACAAAATGAGGTTTTGAGGGTTGACTTTTGGATTGGATGAGTTTTTGACCAAGGGGAGGGTTTATAAAGCTTTAATACATCATTTGTGATGGTGTTTTAGGCTTGGTTTGAGTTTGAAAGTGTTTGGAAAAGGTTTTAGGGGTGAAAGTGTAAAAACAGATATTATGCACTTTGGATTTTTGATGAGATTTTGCAAGAACTTTGCAACTGTGGGAAGGAGGGAGTTTCAGCTAGTTTAAAGCATGTAAATGGCGTGTCTTTGATGTAGTAATTGAGTTCTATTTATAGGCAAAGGCTTTGAGCAAGAGGTATGAGCAGAAGTGAAGTAAATGCCAAGTTTAGCCTTGTAACTTTGAAAATCTTGGAGTTTTTCAATGCAATCTTCATTTCTGACCTTGAGCCATCCTAACAAGATCTTCTTCATAACCTATAAGTCATTTTCATCATGCTTGATGGAATAGGAGGTCACTGGTTGCATCCAAGTTGGTGGTTTGATGATGGTAGCCACCATTTTTCTCTTTCCACACTATTCACTTTTGCAACTTCCATTAAACAATGATTTTTTCCATTTCTCAAGCCAATTTCGTGGGATTTGATGCTAAACATGTTAAAAAACAATTTAAATATCAGAAATGAAGATTAATAATTGATTAGAGTTGATTTGGGGAGCTTTGGAGTTAAAACACTCATGCTGAACTAGCTTTGCCAAAGTGAGTTTTTGTCAACCTGTGGACCTTGATTCTCTCTAACCATGAAGAGTTATGGAACCCACTTGTACGTTTTGGAAAGACCTAATTAGGTACTATAA